GTACAGTTAAGTTTTAGTAGGAAAAATATTTCATTTTATGAACAACAAGACAACATTAAGACACATTGCTATTATTTAAGTTTTACTTTATTAATATTTCGTTTGTAATAATGTTCGGATAAGCTGATATGTCATGTGATAGGAATTTTAACCATGTAACAAGTGCAGTAATAAGGGTTCGCGATAGATTTACCAGTTTTCCAATACACATAAAATCTAACGTCTTCATTTGTGTTATACGCTTGGACATAGATAATAACTCGTTCTGTGTGTAATGTAAAAACTGTGTAAATCTATTAATGCTAATAATAACAATTATGTTGTTAACCATCCTATTCATCGTATAGCCACTCACTTTTCTACAACAGTAAGTTTAACTCTACATCATATTTGAAGAATCTTAATCCAACTATGGTTTTGGCTTTCTAGTATTATTAAGTTTATTGCACAATGTATGAAGATTGGATTATTGGACACCGTGCCTGTCATATCAAAACCGTTTATATAGAAATGTAGGTAACGACGTAACGACGATCAGTATAAATGCATTAAAATTAAAATAACTATTATTATATATATTCAGTGAAACTTTCTGGAAATCAGCAAATCCATATACTTTAGATTCGATGAGACGCAATATATATTTGAAAAATACATAATGGCTACAATAAGTGACACGACAACATTCTGTAGATAACAAAGAAAAGAACTAATATTATAAAATGTGGGTGTGTGTGCGCCACATACACAATGAAATAATCGATAACAGTAAGTCCAATAAACATTATTTGTGTTGTTTAATTTTAACTATAAGTAGTTTAATTTCACGACTCGAAATCTGGTGTTGACGTTTAAATGGAATAGTACTCTGAACCTAATAAAAGAACATAGTTTTTTTTATTACCATTAGCACTTAACAGATAAACGCGAAAAAATCCATCTGGTCTCTTTGATTGTACCCGAAATTTCAAAGAATCGGGCCTAATGAATAAATACATTTAAGTCGAGCAACACTCATAAAATATAAACTTAAACGACGTTAACTCGCAACAGTGACTCGAATTTTTTCCCATCGCAACGAAATACTTTTACAGAATATGCGATTTAAACGCATTTTTCAACAACCGAGATTACCCGATTACATTTTACGAATTGATAACAAAATACGTATCTTTAATACATACAAATTAGTATTGCCTGAACAAATATACAAGAAAAACAAACATATCATTTGACATGGGTCTATTGCGCTATTCGCGTATGAAGTACACGTGTAGTACGTGCCCTGGCGTATATTCCCTTTTGCCCGTGCGGTTATAGCGAACACATGCAAACGCAAAGCGGAATTTCTGGGCGATACAAACGGTCGTTGGCTCTAAATTACATGCCCATAAGTTTCCCACCGGTCTCGCCTTGTATAGAAGGAACCCACACCCGAAATATTCGGCTGGTAAGTATTCGGCGGGTTTCACGGGTCAAAGCACAACTGTTCTGATTTACAGTGTTTGTTCGTTTATAACATGCACGAGTACGATCCACGGATAATAACATATAAATGCACCGACATTAAATTACAAAGTTTGTTAAGAGTACACTTTTTTTTTTTACAAAGACTCGAGACTGTAATATTCTTGCGTGCCTACGTTGCCTTTTGTAACCAACCGTTCACCCTAACAAACCGCGTTTATTAATGTACACCGATAATTTTGTTATTATATATAGCAGTAGCAATTTTAAACGTGTGTTGAAAAAACAAATATACTCGCGAATCTTTGATTTTAAAAAATTAATTAAAACGGTACGGTTAAAACATTTGAGTTACAAAAAACTATTAGCCATACAGTTCTGGCAAAGAAAGATTGCATGAAAAGAGTTTCTACTACTTCACCGATAAAAATCTAAGTACTTGTCACTAACCATAAAAATAATATTTCGAAACGGTAAAATATGTGTACTCAAAAATCAAAATTAGTACAAGCATGTTCAAAGTGCCTATTTTTAAATAAAATCAAGCATTTTAACGGCAGTTGACAAAGACTAATGCAGTATATTTTACTGGTTAGTAGTGAGTTTGTATTAAAATACACGCGTGTGTTATTGCAATATAAAACTTTATATTATATGAATACTAATGCATAATACACACTTACAAACAGGTGCTTTCATGACAGCAACAAGTACTGCAAAGAATGTATGTTTTCTTTTATGAAATTACTATGGTAACGTTACTTTAAGATTGAATAAAGCTAGTACAGGGAAAATCAAAGAATATTTATCTTTTTCGGCCACGTACGATTTTTGGAATATTTTAGCTTAGATGCAGTTTATATACTTTAACCTTCATAAATATTTTGGTTTAAACGGTTACCTTTCTAGGATGCCCGTGAAGAACTGAAATTCAACGTTTTCACGGACATTAATCCATCTGCCAAAAGCATAAACAGTTTAACTACGCCTCCTGCATGCCGTTGAAATCCTTACTAAGACATACTGTAATTGTAAATGATAAAGCCAACCCTATCTTACTCGTAAAATTTCATGTCGTTTTACGTTTAAATAGGTTACAGGTAGTTTAGTTCTCAGCTACGGCTAATAACAATTCCTGGCTTAATTACTGATAAAGACTAGTTTTTTGATTATTTCATTAATTTAAAAATATAATTCATTATATACAAGTCAATGAAATATATTTAAAAATATTCAACTAAACAACATAGAACTATATTAATTTTTTGTTCATTCCCGCCTGTTTGGATTTTAAGTGTAGTTCAGCCTATAGTTAAAACTGTTAAATCATAGAACATTTTTTCACGAATGTTCACGGTTTGTGTATTTAACCCTTTCAACCCCTTGTCTACTTTAATTGATATGTTTTTTTTTTTACAGAATGTTGATGATAACTCCTGTAGTTTCAATGTTTAAAACAGCGATACCAACACTAAAACACACAAAATTGAATATTTTACAGAAAACATTCTAATCGATTTTTAGTAGTAACGATATTTTATTCCCAACAAAGTTTTTAAAGTCAATTTTCGCTTGCTCTGAAAGTCGATATGCAGCCTAGTTTGAAAAAAAACGGTTTCAAATGTCACACACGAACAGAAATATGTCAAGGACAAAAGAGGTATGTTCTTAGGAATAACTAAAAGACAAAATAAAATGACATAAAAACAAGGGCCGAAAGAACCAAATATTACCATGATGTAATTTATGGCATGTGGAACGTTAATCCTTATATTAGGAAATTGTTCCCGGCAAAAATATTTTATTAACCAGTCTTCGGAATGTATTTTAGTGGTTTAAAAAGCTAGTTGTCGGTCGCATCAAACATACTGTAGGCAAAAAATTCGAAAACAGTGTGCATAGTCAAGTTATGAATATGCTGTAAAGTGAAATAGTCAATGGCGATACATTTTGTATTTAACAAAAATGAAGGAAGTGGGATTGGAATAATACTAGATGAGAATATGAATTCTTAATCGATGAAGGTGATAAGAAAATATGACAGAGTTATGGTAGTAAAGTTTGTGTTAGATATGGATTTATATTGAATATGAGAGATGAGTTAAGGGTAGAACAGGTTGTGCAGAGTATAGACAGTTCCTAGCACTGAAAATATTTTGGTTGGAGGAGATTTGAACGGGCATGACAGAATTGAGTCGGTAGAGAAAATATGGAAGTTAGCGGAAGCGCATGATTTTGCAGAAGTCAAAAAGAGAGAAATGCATATTGTGACGTTTAAAAGTGATACAAAAACTAAAAATATAATGCAAATAAGTAGCCATTTTGACCGACCTTATTTATAGGGGTTAAGGTGAAGAAGAAAAATAAATAAATGTATAATGAAATAGGTTATTATAACTGTTATCTTACATGTGACCAAATTAGTGTTATTATTTTTATTTATTTATTTTTGAAAATTAAAGATTGGCAGTTATGTGAAATAAAATGTTGAAAATAACTTTATATACAGGTATGAAAAAGTGCATAATTATTATAGACAGGTTTCAATATTCTTGTCTTTAAATTTTTTGTATTTTTATAGAACGGCTCACGACAATATTAGTAAGTTATAAGACAACAAAGTGTGACGCGATAAAGGAGTAATAAATATGATATAATGTTTTGAATATTAAATGAATCATAAAATACCTATGTATAAATGTATATATATTAATTTGTAGTCACCAACTCGCGCTGACGGTAATCCCTTCAGTTTCAAATCTAATAAAACTCATTTTTTTTTTCTGACATAACTCAGAAATATTTAACAGATTACCTATAACACTCGAAAAATATTGGCAGTGGTTGGGTTTATCAAAATAAAGAAACCACCACTAAATTAAACATTTATTATGTAATTTTGTTTGAACCAAATAAAAACATATTATCATTCGGAGATATTTAATTGCATTCGAATAATTAAAATGTATTAATAAAGCGTCAATATTTCAAAATACTTTCGATTCCTTACAAGAAAAATTCGAAATGTTTGAAAAATGTATGTGTTTGTGCTGTATGAGGTACAACATGTGTTGACTGATTTTCACGTTGAACGCAAATCCTTTTCATTAGAAAACAAACTACAATATCGTCCATTTAACCATTCATACAAGAAAGCATTTTCATTAGTTCCCATTATAATAGAACATTAGCGGTGGTTTTCCTAACCGCCGTTAAAGCCGACCAAAAACTTTAATTTAGGACAGCGTATATTCATCTTAGTCTTTTTGGATTTTCCGGCTCGTATACCGATGTCATCCCACACCCACCACGATTTTACTTTTAACGGTCGTTAATTCGAGTCGTAACGCGAATACCGCGTTTAATGAGACTCGACTATGTTCACGTGGTCGGTAAATCGTTTTAAAATTGGTTGTATCGCGAACATTATTTCCGTGTACCGTTTATAATTATTATTGTGATAATAACTACATTTCGACAACTGTAGTTGTATAACGGAAACACCCAATGACGATTGTTTTCTACATACTTACATGTCATCAGTAGCTTGCTGATAAATCGTTGGTTTGTACGTTCCGATCAAGTGATGTCTTACTAGCACAAAAACGGAAATTCGATTTTTTTATAAAAAAAAACTCTCTCGAAACAAATAGGAAATTTCGTTTAACACAAAACTTGTGAACTAAACCCGCGCGACGAATTCACCGAACAAACGAGAAACCCTAAGTGTAAGCACACCGGTATGTCCGACTACGACGGCTGTACACCAGCAGCGGCTGTTCAAAACTACCGACGAACGTGTAGCCCAAGCTGCCGGCACGTAGCAAACGCGTCTAGCGCATGGCAACCTATCTCCCTTATCGACCCCCATTGATTCTCTGCTACTTCTGCTGCTGCTGCTGCTGCTGTTGCCACCGTTGCCACCTTGCCCTGTCGTTCCGACACATCACACGTTCTACAAGACACGTTATATGATTATAATAATGTATAAGAGGCAGCTGCCGGTGCCACCAATGTGTGTCTGGACTGATGGAATCTGGTGACTGATCAAGATGACATACGACCAGGCTATCGTGAGGGCTAATTAGTCTCCCCTTAGGTACTTAGGTATATAATGTATAACCTCGGGGCGAGCGAAAATGTACATTTTTTTAAACAGATAAGGGTCTTATTGAGTTTTAGCAAGGGTTACTGAATGACCAGTAAAGTCTATAGTGCATATATTTTGTTACTTTCCAGAAACGCATGTCCTCCTTTGGTTTCCTCCTTACAAACACCCATGATGATATTCAGTCAAAAATTAAAATACATTTTTTTTACGTATATACATTTTACTTGCTTATTATTAATGAAAATCATTACACAATATTGAAACAATAGTTCACCATAATAGTATAAAAATAACATTGCATTCTGTTTTTTTGTTAGCAAGCTTATTGATAACCATATCTACACGCTTATCTTTATGAACACTTAAAACGGCTAAACCGTTCAGTCTAGACTCAGTCATTGTCTGAACATATTGCCATCTCTCTTACTTGTTTTTGTTCATGATGATTGGTGGTACTTACTAGTCAGTAGTCACTTATTTATATTATTGAGTTCAGATTTAATGCTAATATCGAATGTGTCAATTGTCATCCCTATATATTATGTATTAATAAATAATTCTTAAACTATGTTGAACTATTGTTGCCTATATGCGAATATCTAATACTAAAAAAAAGGTCATTACGGGTACTTCAGCTCCCAAGACACCCTTTAAATTCGCTTCTGCATACAACCACAAGTTACGCAATTCAATTTTTCTTACTGGAATGAAACAAAAGAAGATATTTGACTTAATTCTAGAAAATCTACATATATATATATATATATTAATAACACTATATTAGTAATACCATTGTGTATAATTTATAAAATATATACCCAATGGTAATACTGTGGGTCGGGAAATCTAATCACTACAAATTGCTGCAGTAGCGCTCGACAGGCGCCAAGTAAGAAGAAGTGCAATTACAAGTACAAATTGAAAATGCCGGTGGGCTTTATTTACTTGAGCCTTTTAAAGAACAAAGTTAACGATAATATTTTAAGAGAAAGGAAGTCTGAGGTTGAAAAAGATGGATGATGGTTACATTATAACGCTTCTCCTCGTTTGCAGTTTATAAAAACAATGAGCTAAAAGAAAACTATTTGAGTCTACAATATTTTTCAATTAAGGTCAAATAATATATTTATATGTTAAATAAATAAAACAACAACAATAATAATAAATATAAAAAATCGTATTAGGTACCTAATAATAATTCAATGTCAAAATAATTTTACTTAAATTGTTTTCCAAAAAAAAAATTCCCTAATTGCAATCATTCTATGGAAAAATAAGCGTATATTTATATAATATTCCTCACCCCGTGGGATTTTGATAATCAGTAGATTTGTAGGTTCGTCTTGACCTAAAATGAGGTCCTTACATTTTTTAAATTTGCTCACCAACTTTAAAGTCACCGCTATCTCAAATATTTTATGATAGACACTTATAATACTTTTAAATACTAACATTATTTATTATCAATTACATAGAAATTTTTTTTTTTTTTGAAAATTTCAAAAATATATACCTAATTTTACTCATTTTATCTTTAAACTATGATGAAAACATTTGGTTTGAGTGTACTCGTACACTGTACAATTCTAAAAAAAAAGTTATAATAAATGTCCATTGCTTCTTGTTCCACTCAATTTCAAAATAGTTAAAATGGCGGTAACATTAAAAGTCAGTGAAAATTTTCAAAAAATTAGCGGTCTCATTTTAGGTCAATAATACCAATTAGTCCACTGGCTATCAGAATATACAGGGTAATTCAATAATGATAAGACCCTGTATAAATTGTTTTAATCTTAAGAAAGTTAGGTTTTTGTGTAATTTCGCACATCGGCGCATGTGTTTCAAAAATGACAATGAACACAAAGTATACAACAATTATAATATACGATTTTTATTTAAGTATTGTACATCGAATTCTCGCCTAAACGTTCACTTGAAAACACAATTTGTTTTACTATAGAAAACAAATTATGTGATTTAATGTGCGTTTTCAGTTCCACTGTTTACAAAAATGAAAATATAGTAATCGTCTGTATAAAAAAACGTTTTAACCGTTCAAAAGACTGTGAACATTATTTAGATAGCCATAATATTGAACTTGCGTTATAAAAATGTGCACCTAACGTCGGCAAATACAGGGTCATTAGAACTACACAGCCCAGCTGACTTATTGACGTTTTTCTAAAATTATTAAAAAACTACCTATTTGAATAATTTTTGGTTTTTATCGTACAATGATATTTTTAGAATCGTTGTGATTTTTCCCACTTCGGTAAGAGTGATTTTGGAATGTCTTAAAGCAATCTGTATATTAATTATTTAAATATGCGTGGTAAGCTATTTTTTTTTTTTTTTTAGTAAAATAGAATTTGTTTGAACTTTGAAGTTTATAACATCAAACAAAAAGGACCTTAGCATTGTTAAAAATTATGATTTCTACAATAATTGTAATACATTTCAACTACAATTTTTAATTATTTAGTTAGATAAATTGGTTATATTATTTTGTTAAAGTTAATGTTTGTCTCCGTAAGCTAAGCTTATTGTGGAGACAGGAGTTCGTTCTTTTAATAAAAAGTGTTCATATTTTACGATAAATCATGTTTAATTTAAAAAGCAAAAAAAGTAATAAATTAAATATTGGTAACTTAACAATTTAATTTATATTTTTAATTTACTCATAAGCACATCCATATCTGAAGCTTTTGATGCCAGTTTTTCAAATAAGTTTAACAATAAATATTCCGCAACGTTTATTTCATTACCTAATAAGCAAAAAAACAAATTTTTAGGTGGTGGCCAACAATCATCGTTACCAAGTTAATGTATAATTGGTGAAATTACCATTAAAATTAAATGTTCCAACACTTATGTTTTTAGCGCGAAATGCTCCCAGGACCACTTCCGCTTCGTTATTGCAGAGTAAACCGTCTTTGTCCGTGTCAAGTTGTTTGAAATCATATATCAATGATTTGACCTCATTTGTACTTAACACCTCATCCTCCTGAAAAATCGGCGATGTAAAATTATGAACAGCGTAACGAATAATTAAATAATAGGAAAGTATTGCATGACATCAAAGAAATGTTAAATTGATAAAAAAAAAAATTGTATTACATTTTCGTTAACTGTCCTAGAACGTACTGCCGTAACTAGCATCAACTCCATCAACTCTTTTGCAGCTGGTCCTGTGCAAGTTTTAATTATATACTAACTACTATAAGAAATTACAATGTATGTAACGTGAATTCATTTATATTTTATCCTTACGATTAGATTCAAATATCATTAAATCTACGTACGACTCAATAGCCATACGAAACTCTTTAAAGATGTTATGAATTTTTAAAGGATTAATGCTACCGGTTTCAGTTTTAGGCAATGTGTACAATGTAATGAACTCTTCAATTTGTGCTTGGTTTAGACCATTTCCCTATAATGTAAGCAAAAAGGATACATAAAAAAAGCTGTACAAAAATTTCGACGCATTTTACATTTTAAGCATTTGTATAATTTCCAACGATTTATTAACTACTACTTTGTAATGATTTTTTAACTTTTGCTTTTAAAATCAAATTTTCGCTTTTGTTTTTTTAATAAAAAACATTTATATGGTTAATTACAAAAATTACAAATAGTAGTATTTTGTGTTTTTTTTAAATTAAATACTGATTTTAAAAGTCTTATCCTGGTATTCCTATTTATCATACTATGATTTTTTTGTTCGTTTTTGTATACGGTTTCCATATGATGTCCCTATAGATACTTTATTTCGTTGCACAAATATTTGCTTACTTCCGGTTGAACTTCTAACATGATCAACAAGAATTCCGGCGGGTTAATTTTATCGCCATCTAAAATTAATAAATGGAGATTGTTAACTAATAAAGTACACCGCTTCTTCGACCAAAATTTAATATGACCATTTTTACCTATAATTTTATTTACTAAATTTATAGCCTTCTCATCTACATTAAGATATAAGTGTTCAAATACAACTGATAGTTGATGACGTGTTAAGTATCCATGTTGGTTTAAACTTTGGACGTCTCTAATGAACATTTTGAGGTAAAAGTGTACTTCAAAAGACGTCAGCATATTATACTAAGTACAATATTAAACATACACGAATAATACACAATAATACTTTTACTATATTTTGATATTAATAATAGTTGATAAATATATTTTAATGTTAAAATAGTTATTTTAGATCAAATACCTCAAACCAGTCTTTCGTTCCTTTATATGCAAACACCAAAAATAACTTGCTAAAGTGTATATAATCGACCTCCTCTAAGTAAATTAAATAATATGCTATTAATAACAAATATAATAGTCAACAACAAAACTTGGCAAATTTAAGATTGATGTACTACACTCAATTAAATGATGTATGCTTGACATATGCAATTATTGAGACCGATTAAGTAGTTTGACTACTTTCAAACTCAATTATATATTTTTTAAAAGGAACTCTATCTTCTACACCTTATTTCATCACTAATTTTCAACCAAGTTGATTTTTTTTTAAAATATAAAAAAAGTACACTACAATTTTTTATAATGTTAGAAATAAGAACTTAATCGCTTAAGTATGTTATTAGAAGTAAATAAAATGACAAATATTATCTATTGAGTTAAAAGTATGTAATTAACAAAGTATAAAACTATTAAAACCATAACACAACGTAAATTATCTATAGATGTAATGAATAAAATAGCTATTTAAATAGTATGTTACCTGGGTTGTATGTAAAAACATTTTCAGCATTCTGAATTCGAAAAACGGTCCCCAAAAGGTATGGGATACTCTGAATATAGTGTATATCTTTGCGATTTTTGTATAATTCAATACAGTTGTTTATTTGATCCTCATTAAGTCCAACGCTCTAAAATAAAGTATAATGACTTGTAGTTTAACACTTAATAATGGTTGAATGGTGATCCATTTAACGTAACAAACTCATTTTCTGGGAAAATAATTGTATAGTTTTAATTTTTGAATAAACAATTATTTACAATACTATAAAATTATAAAATATTTAGTTTCTTTAATATTACCCCAAGTGGATCAACTTTTATAAATTAAGTGTATATTTAATTAACTTATTAAAATATGAATATTTTGCTCTGGTTGAGTAACACACGCAGAAAAATCTAACACTTCACTCGACCCTACTGTCTTACTTACCGACCGTTTTGGTGCATTTTTGTTAAATTAAAAAGTTAATAAAGTATTTACGTTACCTTTTAAAAGCTTAAGGTCATACAGATTTTACGCATAAGTGATAGGGCTATATAGCTATATTTACTGAAGGAAATATTATTTTAGAGAAATAAGTATCTTACCCATACTGATGTAAAGAAATACACCACAAAGAGAATAATAGCACTTTTTAAATGCATAATAAATGAAATTTAATGACGTACGTGTAAAGTTAAACAACTATTGGCACTGGAGTAAAAATAATGAATAACAGTCAAATAAGTGCATTCGTCGTGTTTTTTTACAGTTTTATATAATGACTTATGCTAAACTTTGTGAGTGACAAAATGTGATAAACCTAATGTGTTTGCTATTTGATTGCGCACACGATTTACATTCGCTGCTAAGGTGGAACAGTAATTGCTAGACATCATACACAAAATGGTACCTATGGTTTTTTTAATTTTTTTTATTTTTTACAATCTGTACATACAAAATATACAATAAGCAAATATGTTAACAATGTAAATATGTGACTTGGAGACTTTGGGTAGGGAAGCTATCCCATGATAGGACCCTATGACATGTTTCTGTATGTTGTATTTCTTTGTGCTATAGTATTTTTTTATTGTAATATTTTATTTAAACACAATTAGTAGTTAGATCAGTATGTTGGGAGCAGCATGGTCGTATCCAGCACTCATTTTGGGGGAGGGAGGTTATTTTAAGATAAAACTAGTAAATAAAATTTAGGATTTTAATTAAATAGAACCATATTAGTTTTTTAGGTATATATATACGGCGTATGCTGGTATAATACAATTTATTATTACTGTATTGCCCAATGACAACAATCACGTTTGTAATTGGACCTATACACAGTTATTGAAATCACGAAGCTATTCTAATTAGAAGCCGGCCAATGACTCTCCAAACTGCATACCAAAGATTATAATAATATTATTGATATTGTGCGTGCACACGACATGGTGTCTTTTGTACCCTCGTTTGGATAAAAAATAAATAGATTGTGTGGTTTTTTAAAAGTTCTATAGGCCTTTAATGCGAAAAATAAAGAGGAGTACAAGCCGCAGACCCTAGGCAATCCGCAGAGTAATACATAACACACATGTTAATAGCATTCCTTAAACTTTGATGATGGACAATAATTTAGATTTTGAGATTTATCGTAAGAAAACTTAGGACTCGAGTATAGCCCTAAACTAACATTGTAGTGTTGCCAACTTGTCCTTGTCAGCTGACAACAATGTAATATTAGTTTAGATTAGGTTAAGTTGGCAGCACTTACAAGGAGCCTCCAGTGCCCTATCTACTACTGGTAATATACATAAAAGGTCAAAATATAAGATTGGGATTTATAGGGTTTTTTTTAATCACTACTATTCAGTATTAAATACAAATAAAATACTATCAAACAATTTCAATGATTATTTTTAAAAAATAAATCATCTATAATTTTTCCCTCAAGATACAAATAACGACCAAAAAATAACTTATTTTAAAATCACATAATTTATTGTTTTACATAGCATGACAATATTTTATAAGTTATAATTATACAAATTAATTTTATACATAATGAATCATCATTTTTTCGTTGTTAATTAACAAATTTTAGAGTACAACATCATTTCTTTGTAACAATATAACAACAACTATAATGTCTATCTCAACACAAATTCAAAATAATTAAACAATTCAAAATATAAACAACGCAATTACAAAAATAAAAATATTATTTGGAGCACAAGGTATAAGGTTAACATTGACATGGGTTTAAATTTTAGACTATCGAAGTAGATGAAATTATTACACATTGAATATAAATTAATTATTGTACAAATTAAATACACAGAAATACACAGTTGACAAATTACTAGTTTACAAACACACCGTAAACAATAGAATGTTGGTAGTACCTATGAAATTCATTTCACGTTACCGACGGACTATGCACCTCGTTTACGACAGATTTTAGACAATGCATCTACTTATTTTTGCAAAGTTTTGATTTTACTCATTATCATTTCTACATTCCTACTATAGTCTTTTTTATCGCAGTCCATTTTGTTGCGTAATTCAGTTTCAGCCCCAAAACGTTTTGCTTCCAGCTTAAAAAACTATCAAAAAATTTACATAAAATACAGGGTGTTTTAAAAAGAATGCTGGGGTTTCAAACGGCTGCAGTCATTCGAAACTCGACAACTCCCTCATTCGTTCAAGCTCTACCAGAGCGCTGTAAAACTAATTTTCCTTACTAATTTATCTTTGTTCAAAAGTTGTAAATCTTTTTAATTTGATAATTCTTGTATCGTAGCTATTTGTCCTCTAAGTTCAGTAATGACGCGGTCCGAAGAATGTGTGTCAACGTTTTTTTGCATTTTAAATTTCGGCGGAAGTGAAAAATCCGGTGCACCGTCGTCCATTAGTTTCATAACGTTGCCATGGTTGTATTCAGATCTGCAAACATGAAAAAAACCAAACAATTTTTTTTTTTATAATAATTTTTAAGTTAACCATCAACCGACCTATCACGTTTTCTAGATAACGTTTGCTTCGTTTCAGCGTCCGATTTTTTCATTATGGCCGAGGCCCGTTTAAACGATAATGTACATAACCAACACAACACTTTTCCTAAATAGTAAAACATACAATCCTTTTTAATTTATAGAGCACTTTTTGTTGTTAAATAAAACGTTTACACTCCTCTTACCTCACTCTCCACGTCGGTCCTGTTAAACGCACATTTTTGTTTACATTGATCACAAGCGACTGGTGGACCATATTTTCGTTCTGAATAAGCACACCTTTGACATTTGTGTCCAATGAACACAAGGGGATACATTACAGAGGACACACTTACGTTATTTTAATTAGAAAAAACTAGATCCAGCATTGAACCAAAGCGATTATAAACTAAATATTATGCTGTGTTAAGTTTAAATACGAAAAAGACTACTTAACCTATTCGAATCGAAATTGTTTATATTAGATAAATTAGGAATGACATTATTATTTACAGAAATCTATTTAATATTTAGGAGATTATAGTCACCTAATATTAAAAATTTAGAGTCACATTTATTGTGCATGAGATTATCAATGACATAAACCTGTTTTTACATCTATATAAAAAGAAAACTTAAACGATAAATAAAATAAATATTATGTTCATATTGATATACGATTACTGCAGCCTACAATCGAATGATTGAAATTTAAGCAAAGCATTTCTTAGACCCTCCCATTCCCTCCCCAAGTACAATATAAAAATATGCTTCAATAGCTTTATGTACCCTATTATATTATAATAATGTACCTACTCCCGTTACACATTTACTTTTACAATATATACCGCTGTCTATTATGAAAATGTAAACAATAGGCTGTACGCAAAATAACGTCGACGTTACCGTGCTTAAAACAATGCCGTGGGGTAAACGATATAGTCATCGTTTCTGATAATAATCCTACTTTGAACGCAATTTATACTTGGCGGATTATCATCTTGTATGAAAAACGGTACGACCATGTTATTATAATACCGATATAATAACATGTACACTATTCTAGTATTTCGGTCTGTTAAATTGTAAGATAATAACAATACTCTCGAAATGTATTGAGTTTTTTTAAGGTAATGGAAACGGCAAATAACAAAATATAATATTAATGATAAAATGCGTATTAGGTATTTCCTGGTTGAATAGTGAGCACAATAGTCAATAGGGGTGCCTATGACTTTGTAATAGATTTTACAAAATTTGGATATTAGATATACATTTTTTTAACTTACAGAGAATCTAGGAGGTGGTTGTTCCCCTTGCCCCTCCCTGTTGGTGCCTTTGACAAAATGTATGGTAAAATGAAGCCATTCACTGTGGTATACACGCAGAGACAAAACTGAAACGGCAATATTTTAAAGAGATTTCTGAGTTAATGGCCGGACAAAATCAGTGCCGGATCAAAGTGTTAGTAGGCTCATTAGACACTAAGACACTGTGAACTTCAAATTTTCGAAATCGTTACCGTCTAAATAATTACCCAGATTAATTCAAATCCATTAGCGCTTCTCGCCTTCTAAAGCAAAAAAGTGATAATTTAAACATCTACATGGATTGCAAAATAATTCCTCCGATGAATTCATTGTACTTTATTTCTTTCTAGAGGAATATGACTAGGATGGGTTATATAAATATGATAGGAATATTTATAGATGAATGTTAAGATAAGAAAAGAAGGCAATTCGTAGTTTTTCGAAGGCAAATCCGTACACACCCAATTATAATAATAATACACACACACACAACCAATTATATAATATGATTGAAAAACATTAATAACTTAAGGGATAAGGATCAAAAGGATACAAGTAGATAATTATATATACTATTGATGTATTATGTACTATTACAGGAAAACCAAACGAAAATTATTTTCGACGAGTTTGTATTGGCTATGTGGATTTTTTTTCAATATCTCCTTTGCAAATAAAAGACAAATTAGACCCTAACAGGCAACAGCGCAAAAAAAATTAAAACTTCCGCTGAGTTCCTAATACTGTCTTGGAAGGTCTGAGACGGAATATATTATAGACTTTCAAACGTCCAAGTTCAGATATTTCTGAAAAAGGTAACTCGAGTTACGACTTAACGGTTAAAAGGAAATGTGCCTACATTATAGTGCTCATCGTAGTATTATCTTAATCTTAACCAAGTAGAAACAATTTCATCATGTTAATTTTTTTCGTTGTTATTTTTTAAATGTATTCAATTAATATATCTTTATTTGCTAATATTAATGTAATAACACGGCGTTTAGGTAACCTACGGTCCAATATATTTTAATTATCATAGAAACGAAATACCGTCGAAAAATAATTATTCCCGTATCACTGACCCCCCCAACGCGACGGCCGGTCGCTGTCTTCTTCATCCTGAGCAATTTCTCCCGTTATTTATGGCGTAATTTAATTATTTTTCGGTTTAACCGTTATTTATGTACCGAAACTTCCACAGAATTATCGCTAAACTTTTACTAAATGTTTAATAATATTGTGTGTAACGTACCTACCTGGATGTTTATTGCACTTCCGGAAACAAGTCATTAAATGCAATCGTTTTTGAAGAGCCGCGTCCGGTCGAGCACAAAACAACTTGTTAGGAATTAATAGTTTCCAAATAATAATAACAATATTTTAACCCCACTTGAAACTTTGCACGCCTATGTTGTCTAAACTTTTACCGGCAAACACCTTTTTAGTGAATAAATAGCGCCATCGCGTCTTACAGCGTATCAAGTATACTTAACAAAACGAGCTTAATTGAAATTTCTCACAGGTGTGATTACATAATATTATGAACTTTAACGACCAACGACAACGTGTAAGCAATTTGGTAAAACCCATTATTGCTTTCAGTTGAGTCAACCCTAATAAAACCGCCAGTCCTATAGGATGTGATTTTAAGCTGTTGCCTATGTAATGGAGACTACCGTGTACAAGAAGTTCTATCCGATGAACTAGAAATTTCATTGTCTTCTTTCTTTAGCAATCCTCGCGTCGTTCCTTGTAATTATAATATAACCGTGTTGAATAAAATAATACATTTTATAACATCTAAAAGTGCTTTAGTTCTCCACTGATATCGCACACGTGTCAAAACAAATTAATAGAAAAATACAATAGGTACATTATGAACTATGTAATTATGAAGATCCAAATCAATTATTTATGACTTCAATGAAGACATTAAACATTTTGATAAGATGTGAAATATTATAATTGAATAATTTTATATTATTATAATATTCGAGTAAACTTTTCATTGATGTGTGATTTGTGAAATGATACACTGCTATATTCATTGCTTATAAGTGTGTTTGACTTGCATTTGTATTGATTTTTTTTTTTTGGATATGACTTCATTTTGAAAACCGCAATCGACCGAGCGGACAATAATAGCGACAATTCCGTCGCCTCGTCAGAAGCCAGGAAAATTCGAGAGAGAGAGATAAAGTAAAAACAAAGTATGTTTAAAATTCAAATAGACTGCACGTTTATGCTTGTTGAGTGGTTTTTTACATTTTAACCAACCCTCCTCAAGATCCCGTATTAAGTACGTCAGACAGTGATAAAAAAAATTAAATGATGAGTACCCTAAGTGCACCTGCAAAATGCCATCAAATAATTAAAGATACAAAATATAAACGTACAAGTACACACATACAAAGGGATCAGGTAAGTGCTAATACCATTTCTTCGGAATTTTTTTTTATAAAAATGTGAGACATGATATTATTTTCTAGAAAGTAAAACGGTAATGCCGCAATGCGGTCAGCGTTCATCAAGCAAGCCCATACAAATTGTTCACTCATCAAAAAATAAAAGCATTGGGTATATTATATACACAATGATAAAAGACTATGAGCGAAAATATACTTTTGGTAGCTCAATCGTATAACTATAAATTCTTTAACTTCGTTAAGTGTAATAGTTGTGTGATTAGTTTCTGATATTTATCAACATAATTCCTTAAAAAAAATTTTCACTATATTAAGAAATTCAAAAATGTCTCTTTTCAACATCAAATATTAGGCTAAATAGTGAATATATTATACTAAAAAATGAAGATATGTAGGTACGTATGTTACGTAGCTAAGTGTTTAGAGTAGAACAATAACCGTCGGAATGGGCACTGTGATGTTCTAATAAAATAATTAATTACCAATTGTCTTAATAATACTAGTAGGCATTCATAATTTGTCTTAGCTCTATAAGTTAATATTGCACTAAAATGTCCAAAAAAGACATATTCTTCATATACTTCATTAGGTATAACTTTTAATTTTCACTTTCTTCCAGTAATCTTTTTACTTAATAACTAAGAAAACGATAAAAAAAAATCATTAGACCTATACATAACAAAATATAATATGTACTATATAATCGCTGTAACTGCTGTAGTAAGTACTTATAATGTTTGATGATTTTTTACAACTCCTGCATAACACACAAAACAATAATTATTTAAACATTGAATTACATTTTAAAAACTCAATGGTGACCGAAGAACGAAATCGAGTTGTTTATCCAGACATCTCAGTCGGGACAGAGTTAATATAATGTTGACTTTTCAATTAAAAACTTAAATCCTAATTCGGACCGTAGGGAAATATCATGGAATTCCTTAAAGCTGCTCGTTATAATGTTATGTCCAACAACGAAAGTATGTCGTTGTAGTATCACTCAACTGCATGCAAGTTTTTCGAACTAATAACACAGACCGGTAAGAACAATTAAAACATTGTTAGATATTTGATCTACATCGCGGTAATAAATTATAGCTCAAAGCTATTGATGTACTTGCAAGATACTTACATACCTAATATTAAAACGATCTTATAAAATATACTCACATTTAAACATAAAAAAGCCAAATAACTAGACAATTTCTGTCTGAAAAACGTAACATTCATTTTGAATTTTACTGAAATGAGATATTCATCCCATTTCCCAAAGTACCGGGAAAAAAATATTTAATTACACTAATTATAAGAAAATCAGTATAATAAAATGATTATATATTAGTAGGGTAGTACAGTAAAAACTTTTTGTTGTTTTTTCAAGGCGATATCTTCAGTTTTTGCTGTTAAAAAAAAAATAGAAATCACGAGCATCGATTTTATTCTAAGTTGCTACAATTAAATAAACAAACAAAACTTAAAAAAAAAAATGTTGTTTATCCACAAAATTATTTTTTGTCATAAGCATAGAAAAAATACTAGAATTTCATGCACCGCGAAAAATAATTTTTGAAGGTGTTGTTAAACATTTTTTATATATTAATTATTATTAGTGTCTATATGGATAGTATATTGTAAGGCCTATAAACTATAACCTAGCGTGGAATGTACATTTTTTCAATCGGCTAGTTTTTAATTTTGAGTATTGTTGTCAAGACTAAAATAATAAAAAAAACATTTTTATAAATTTGATGTTCGAGACCTGAATTTTTTTTTTAACCTGAACAGAATTGGCTAGGGTTAAGCTGGGAAACTGTTAATTTAAGGCTGTGAAAAAACAAAAAATGTAGTTTTCGGACAACCTTACTGTATAGTAAAAAATCGTACCCTTTGCTTTTAAAAAATTCTTCCCCAATTTTTTAAAATATATATCACGTGTTAAATTATAAAAATATAGTTGATAAATATTTTTTTATTATGTATAATATTCATTGGAAAATTAAGAAACAATAAATATAAACAAGTACCCAAGTCGAACTGTTTGTTTTGATGTGTACTTGTGACAGAAATTTTAAAATTATAAATAGCTAAAAAATTACTATTATTTTAAGACATACTATTTTTTATGCATAAAATAATTGATTTTCTACAAAATGTGTGTAGAAATACTTAAGACCAATTAACATATGTTAAGACTAGTTCGATCTAGACTCAAAGGAGTATTATTAATTAACAAGACTCAGACTGTCAACTAGATGGCATGATAATAAATCAAAAACCACTTAATTTTATACTATATATTTTTTTAACATAATCAATAATGTATTCACAAACACGCAATAATAAAAAATATATGTAAGTACATTATAATAATATAATGATCTTAACCTAAACAATAATCGTTTTATCATTAGTTTTATACAAAACAAATAATATTAATAAAATGCACCTACACCGTTTCTAAGAAAATATATGCTGCTTTCTCGGTGATCCAAGTCATATATTATGTAGGAGTCAAGACTATTCACTTATAACGAGAAACGATGCAATTCGTCAGGCACCAAAATTAAATAAAACAAAACATTAATATATTAATATATAATTTCTTTTATAATAATAATTATTTATAATAAACAACTATTGATAATACTGATAACCTATAAATCCTTATAACAATTCTTGATTATTTTCACAGCCCTTAAGTTTTTAATAATATTTAATAGAGAATTAAACTGTTATGACTATCACCCTAATTAAGGTAACACAATTAGGCAATAAACGTGTTTACTCCTTTGTAATTTTTTTTATATAAAGGTAACAAAATATTTGACTAAATTAATGATAAAAAATAATATGGTACCAAGCTGTAAAACGCAGACTTCACTAAGAACGTCAATTTAACAACGCTACTGTTAGTAAACATAATGTCATAGTATATTAATAACTTAAGGTAAAGAGAATCTAATTCATTTAAATTATGATTGTGAGTAGGTTAGTAAAATTAATAAAGCCTAGTGAAGTCTACGTTTTGACAATAACAAAAAATTATATTAAATATAAATTTGCAAAAGAATACAAAGAAACATTAAGTTAAAGAATAACAAGACTAATTAGATAAAAATTGCGGAAAATAGGTAAGCAAAGAGTTACGGCTACAAGGAAGTATGATGAGTGGATAAAGAGATGACGTGAAAACGTGAAGAAAAGTACATTATTGGAACTCACTCGTTAAGAAATAAAATGGAAATTAAAGCTGATCAAATATAACAACGAACCAACACCGAAATTACAGAGTTAAATCATATGGTGTCATACTATTTTAAACAAGTAAAACTATAATAATTAATAATAAGCCACGTCATGGAAAATTGCATTACAGTGATTTTATTTGAGAGCATTTTGGTAATCAATTTAAATTTTTGTTTCACTTATCGTTAAAAAGAAATTTAATTATTTACATTAAGAAAAACGAAAATAGATATTCTCTAAATACGTTAAAATATATTAAAAAATTATAATTCAAATTCCTACCCCCCCCCCCCAAAAAAAAAAAAATGAAAAATGAGTGTTAATGTCATAGTTAAATAAAGGTCCACATATTACATTTAAAACAAATTTCTAAATTTCATATATTTGATATATGAAATGGACATGTCGTAAAACTTCTTAATTCAAATTACGTTTTCAAATTATAAAATGTATCAGTTTAAGTAAATAAAGGAACGATGTTCAATATTTATTATTAGAATTTGCTATTAAAAAAAAATTGTTTTAAATGATTATTAAATCAATTCCTCGGCAATGAGATTTAAAAATTCTTAGATAACATTTAAGCCAACATGTACACCACTTTTGGGATTTCTATTAAAATACAATAAAAAACAATAAAATTATGAGGAAAAATAATTGAAGTTGAATATTTATGTCATCGAGATTGTACAAAGAATATATCTGTGTAAATTTCAAATATAAAATTGGGGTAACTATAATACAAACAATGTGAAACAATAACAAAATATAGGAAAGAAATTATAGTTATATATATAAATAAATAAACAAAGGTCGGTCTCCTTGAGTAATTTTGTTATAGCAACTTCTTTTTTTGTTATAGCAACTTCCGAAATAAAATCGTAAATAATGTATCCATCGCAGCAGTTTGTTCTACAGTGGTTCAAAAATAAAATTAACAAACGACAAATTGTAGGAAAATAAGTTCTTAGTGGTACGCCTTAACTGATACATTGTACTATGTATATTGTACATGGCTGTATATAAGCAGTGGTTTGATTTTATTACCGTTGTTACTATTAAAAAACTTATCAAAACTGTATAAAGACAAAACAACAATTATCAAGTGCTGCTTTAAAATAACGATGGACATCTGCTCCAGTCTTGTTTCTGTTTACACTCCCAATACTCATTAGTAAATATGTAGCATGGTGTTTTCGTCCATTTGCACAAATCTCGCTTGAACCACGCCGGTTTAACAACACTTTTAACATTTTCTTGATCAGCGTCTTCATCGTCGTCTTCTATAAAATAGCGTAATGGTATAAAATTGAAAAACGATAATTATATTTGTAAGGTAAATATAAACAATTCCAACAGCTCAGTACATTTTACATACCATTATCATTATACTGCTTAGTGGTTTCATTAAGAGTATGAGCCTTACTATTTCGAATTCTCTGCTTTTCTTCTAGCCTAAGTTTTTCTATATTAGCTTCATCCCACAGACCGAATTCCATTAACCGTTGATCAGACCTGTATCTCGAATCTGTTGGTGCTATACCTTCTTCCATTTCATTTAATTGACTAGCCAATGTGGTAAAATAATAATATTTTTCACAATCAGCTCTACACAAATTAAAAAAAAAAGTTATTAATTATTATTATTAACGTTATAATTATTAATGCACATTCTATACATACGGAGGAATTTTCCTTTGCCAAACTAACATATAACTTCCAGTTTGACAGGTCGGACTATCGACGGGACCTTCATACTTAATTACGGGAGCTATTTCGACTTTGTTGTCCCATGTACCATTCACGACCCATTTTACCTCGTTATCTTTGTTCACAACATACCCTTTCACCTTGACACATAAAAAAACATTAACAATAATAATTATTCGATAATTATACACTGTTAAAAATAATATACTTTTCTCTGTTGATCTCTCGTGAAATAGCTATAAGGTATATAGCTTAAACGACACCTAGATCCATCTTTATGATTAGTTATTGTCATTTCACCAGTTTGGTCAACCCAAAGTTTTCCAACTATAATATTGTGGACGGTAGTTGTGACTTTGGTCCATGTGTAATGATTTCCTGTAAAAAAAATAATAACGAAAACATAAAAAAAAAGACAAATGTAAAAACATTACAAATAGTAGTAACAAAAGATACAAACCAGAAGCTGAGAACTCAAGATGAGCAATACCACCAGGGATGGCCTGCAAGTACTTGCCACGGAATTTTGAAGACATGGAAAATTCTTGCCAACACGTCCATTCTTTACCCGAACAGTGTTGTGCTGAAATTGGCGGATGATGTGAAACCTAATAATTAATGGATAAATTATAAAACCATTTAATCATATAGAAAATACAAGACTGGCAGGATAATAAAATATTATTTATTTACTTGTTCATTAAATGCCTTCCAACCTAGATCTGCCATCCTATCACATTCATAGGTTTCGCCTAATAACGGGTTAAACGGTTTGCTCGTACGGTTCACAGTTGTAGAATATGAGGATATTGTAAACGCGGCAACGTAAGCCAACTGTTCCAATGGATCTTTACATTGAGCAGCTGTGTCAAGTATGCTGGAGTATTCAAAATCTTCCGTAATTCGTTGAAGCATCGACAGCGGTTCAGAAAAATTTACCTAAAATATTAAATAAATAATAATGATGTCATCTTTTAAAAATTTAAACTATATGTTTATGAAATACCGGCATTGGTATTTTGGACAGATCTTTCCCTATGCAGTTTTTCAAAATGCTCCAGATGTGCAGCTGATGATTTGGTTTGTCTGGAACCCGGCACCTTCGTTTGTCGCCCGGTTTCAGCGGATGTTTGTTAACACTTTCAACCATTTTTTTCGCGTTTTCAGACAACTGAGGGAACATACTGGTAGGCTCATTGTTTTTATCCTTTAGATGAGCAATTTTTAAATTAGATATGGCGTTGCCAGTTTAACACAAGTGGTACAAAAATCGACTAGCTGATATACATACACGAGTCGTTTTTAGAGCAGATGACGAGCAAATCGCCGCCGTCAATATGGCTGAAGAGTCTGGCACATCGTCGATATCACTGCTGGATCCTCCACTACAGTCCAGTTCTTCGGTTTCCAACTTATCTAAAGCCTATGAACCAATGAACATTTCACTTTGAATAAGTTTCCAAAATACCATCACACATTTTATTAAACAATCATTACCGGTGTGCCGGGCGTTAAAGATTTATGTTGATGGACGTTGGGAGACTGTCTATTGACTAGGAAACTATTTGTGGTCCCGTCCAATAAGTCGCCAGCTTGAGCGTCAAAAAATTCGCAATTGTCCGAAGAATCATCATCGGATGAATCTCCTGAAACATTTAAATAAAACTTAATATTATAACAAGATAGCAAATAACAACAATACTACAGTATGTTGCTAAAGAAAAACCCTCGAGTGTCATAATATTGTCACTAAGTGCCTATTTGGATTGATATATGATATATTTAGTACCTATAATTTTTTCCAAAAAACGCTTTGAACATGATAAATTAAAAACACAACAAAACTAAGTACAAATGTTTAAATGTTTGAATTTTACCAAACACTATTTCAATTTCAGTTTTTTTTTTTTTTTTAATGCCAAGAATTATCCAATTTGTTTTTGAGTAAGCTTAATTTTCTAAATCTACCAGAGTATAAATTTGTGTTTTACTGAATAAAAAATAATTTATAATGTTGTTTAATCATATTGATTCTCCTTCGAAAATTATTCCTGTGAAATAACGCTTATTTATTACTTATTTATGTTCATGAAACTTCACACAATCTGACTATACCTATTAACCTAACTGTACCGATAATCGAATTATTAACAAAATCATGGTTTGACACTTGATATTTCATTGATATCACAATCTTCAAATCATCATCAAAATTACAAAATCAGCCCGACGAAAGAAATAAAGCATATTTAAAATTTAGTAAAATCGAAACAGTGAAGAAATATGTCCGAAATCACAAATGGTTGCTGTGCGTTGTGCAAAGAGAGGAATCTTTTATTAAAAACTGGTGAAGTGTAACTCAATCGTTGACGAAAAAAATAACAGATTCGTTTTCTAGATAAATTCTATTTAAGGATTTTGAACGGAATGATTTAAGTATTAATTTTACTGATGATCAACGAATTCAGGGTAAATCTTAGATCTGTGTGACGACAAATCGAGACGATAAACATAATGTTTTTTTTAACACATCTGCCATTGGTAAAGCCGGCGGTACCAGTTCAAGTGGTTCTCAAAAAATTGAACTAGAATCTCTCCTAGCAGCTAACGTGTTAAATTACTTATACTACGTATTACACTACACTGATCCTACTTGGTCGGCACACATAAAGAAAACAATGATATATATTATAGTGTTTATTATTATTATTATTATATTATTATAGTGATAATATTATGCAGTATTTGGATTCTGGAAGATACAGTATCTACTCGCTTATCGGGAAATTTACATCATAAATGTAATTATCATGTCAAACATAGTTAGTCTGTTCTATAGTCTATAACCAACATAAAACAATGTCCAAATCAGTAGAATTTCGGAATTAGGAGATTACATATTTTACACGTTAAATTAGTAGTTTTTATTACTTATCTTGTAATCCTACTTTCAGTAAAAAGTAATGTAACTTCATTAAAATAATTATTAATAAAAATTCTAAATCAAAAAGTGCTGTTTCTCTTGATATTTTGTACATATTTTCAATTCATTGATCCACTCACATTATATTCGGCTGATTATTATTATATAGTTAATATGATTAAGTTACATAACAAGTAGCAATAATAGATTCGTTATTTTTCGAGGTCAGTGTAGTAGTCTGTATGCGATATTAAAATCCATAATTAGTACAAAAATGACAGGCTAACTCTGTTGAATCTAATATACATTAATTTATGTAGAATTTTTAGCTTCGATGCAGAGCGGCAAAGGTATAAGGTTTTTTTTTGTAATGTTATGGTAAGAAAATGGTTTTTATGACGTTGTTGTTGCTGTTGATAAAATGATTATACTATTATTAGTTCTTTGTTTTAAAAATATAAATGTTAACGAGAAATTCGGGTACTTTACTTATCAGCAAATTTTTTATTACTACAAGTTTATGGTAAACAACACAATAAAGACCTTCGGTTGCTTAGAGCTAACACAGATGCACGAATATGCCAACAACTAGAAAATAACCGTAAAACGGATATTGAAAAATTATATTATAATTTATATTACCGTCATGTAAACGACCAGGACTTAAAGATTATTGTAGTAATTTCAGAAAACGGCATCCATTAATTTTTTAACAAAAATCAAAATTATGAACGATATAAATATACCCTTTTTATGACCTGCAAAAAAAAAATAAATACGAATAATTCCTTACCACCACTGCATTTTTGCTTCATTGCTCAAAATCTGTCCTTAATACTGTAATCTTATACGCAATACGTGTTTACCGGCACTCGCAAAGCTCGATATATATCTGATTTACACATTTTTGTTCCCATATGGTTCGTCGAAGCACACACGGATTCTAAACCAATACTGATCGGTTGAACGTCTTGTACGCGACACGCGCAAATTAAAAACCATATTATTATAATCAACAATTATTGTATAACTTCTATTGATTCTTGTGATAAAAATATTATGGCCATGGAAATGGTAAATACCAATTGCGCATCATAATCTATATTAAAATGCTATGATATTGTTATTTCTTATTAGTATTATTTCAATAGCTACCCACACTCCTTCGAATTTGATGTCTGTTAGTTAATTGGCAAGCAGCGAGGGGACGGCAAATTAATGCTAATCTTGAATTTTAATAGAAACACAATTATTGCCCAATTATTTCATACAACAACAAACTGACAGTATACCTATTCCAAACCTAATCTCAGTGAACTTAAATTGTAATTCTTACTAGGTTTACTATTATTGTAATTATTCTATGACGATAAATTTTTGCTATTATTATTTATTACTACAAGGAAGTAATATACTTTTAAAGAACAGATAACATCAATATAAAACAAAGTCATAGCAACATAATGTTAAATTAACCAGCAGGACATAATATCGTTATTTGCTTTAATATGTTATTATTAATTAAATGTTATTACATCTAAATATTGTTAAATTAATGAACTCGTAAATAAAAACACGGGAGTACATTTTTATGTGAATTGCGAATCTCAATGAATGTCAACGTGACAAATGAAAATAGTATTTATAACACTATAAATAATACAGAATATATTATTTATTTTAGTCAAGTAATTTACTTAAACAACTAAATTTGTTTTTAAATGAATACGACTATAACAAGTTAATAGAAATTATATTTTGTTTACACTTTTGTTGTCTATATTTTAATGCTGCCATCTCATGATGGCAGCCTGGGCCTTCATGGCCCGTTAAGCTACATGGTGATGTCTATGTTTTAAATATTTATACTACATCAAATGTTTATTATGAGACCATTGTTTTGGGTAAAATACAAATCTTTATTCGTCTTAATATTACCACAGCCAATATAATGCAGACAAAGCGAACACAAATTTACGAACTACTTAATATTTGAAATTGTTCTTTGTAGACAAACGTATATATTATATAGTCAAATGTAATTATACAACTAAACAACTTAATCATTATTTTCATATGGCTCTTCTGACACGCCATAGTTAAAACCTAATAATAATGCGTTGAGATAAAAATGGCCAACTATAAATGAACTAAAAGTAATTTTTAAAGCGTCTCGTTCTATCATTGAATTTCTCTAGTGAGGAAATGGAATTTGTTCAGAAGTAGGAATCGCGACGACATAATGTTGGGATTACAATTGTCTGTTCAACGAAAAATAAATATTTGTTTATGGTCGCACACATGGCTCCGACTTGTGTATGCGGGTACGAATGTTTACCACATATGAAAATACATTGTTCACAAATCTTATTGTTCACTTACGACCGACAAAACTACAAAACGTTTTTATAAATTGCTCAAACATTATTATTACTTTATAAGGAGTCTGCGCATAAGCTTCCTACATGGCGCTAAAGTCTTGGATTCTCAAAACTAAATTTCTAAACGCTGTAATAACTCATAAGACATAATTAAGGCAAATTCTACGCATATTTCATCCCATTTTTTTAATTTTTTTTTTTTTGAAATGTAATCAAATACCGAAATCCAATGCGCTTCGTCTTTCTCTTTTTAACAAAAAAAAATCGAAATCGGACAACTCCGATGTAAGAGCAATTTTCACCACCAAATCCGATCTCATAAAAAAATTGTATACCGAATACGTTCACAGTAATTATACCCTATAGCAAAATTAAAGTTAAACACCTAAATTAAATCTGAAAAATAGCTGACGTGTTCGAAATCTAGTAAAACCAGTTTTTTTGTCAAATATTTACAATTTTTTTTTCTACTTAATATCTTCGACCAAGCCCGCATTATTGTGATCACGTTTTGAAGTATAGTGTACCGTTTTGTTGTAATATGCAACCAGATTTTAATGTTCTAATAAACTCTATTGGATTTTTAAAAAAAATTGTTTTCTGAGTTTTTAATTAATACAAAAAAAACCTTATGGAAATCAGACATTGTCGATTAATACCAGTTTTATTTATGATCAATATAACACAATAAGTTATTTTTTTGAAAATTGTAATGTATCTTACAATTTTTAGATTCTTCATATTATTTGTAATTTTTACTTTGAATAAAATAGAAAAATTTGGCGGAAAACCGAGTTTTCCAAAAACGTGTTACAGTATTACCGTGTTTAACCATCCAATTGTAACTTCATATTCTTATGACTATTAGCTCTTTTTTTCCTAATATGTTTTTAAAATTAAAATAACCGTGCGTACGATTTACTAGGAAACATAATAATTAAACACATTTTTATACACAATAGCAGCTTACATGTGCAAAATTATAATCATCAAAAATAGCATACAATAGTACCTACTAAGTAATATAGGTACGTGAATTAATCTATAGATATAGGTCGACCCTATTTTAACTATAATTTAAAAATTACAAAAACCGACAAAATTAGATTGCTTTTTTATTTACAGCACTAAAATACATATACTAGAAACGCAACTGCATTATATTTATTTAAATATAAACTAAAAGTTAACATTTTATTGGACTTCAGTAGGATATTTTAGTTATTACTCCACCTTTTAAGCTACCCAATTTAAAGTTTCAAAAAGAGTTTTAATGATCTCTATAGATACCCGTGTACTCTTTTTAACTAATTATAATTCTGTCGTCGAAAGCCAAACATGGTATTTTGGGAAAACAATAAGTTGTCTGGTCAAATGTTGGCAATTTAGCAATACTCAGCATATCATTTAAAATATAAAAACAGACTTATGGACCTATCATAATTGTATAAAACTTAATTATACATTAAAAAAAAATTACCTTGTTTGTCATTGTTAGCTACATGCTCCATGACCGTCTGTTCTCTAGCAATTTGGTCAACCATTTCGACTAGCTGAAGTCGCTGTCGTCGTTCATTATACAACATCTTTTTCCACTTGTTACCCTGACTTTGGGCCAAATCTAAGTACTCGGAGCAATTCTAAAATGTTTTAATATAGTACTGTTATTGTTAAACTCACAGTTTTATGCAGTATCGTAAAATACTTACAGTGACCATGCCAATAGATGCGATGCGAAATAAATTTGCACGTTCAAGCCAAGCTTTTATTTTTGTAGAGACATCAGGAGGCAAATCTGAATTCTCTAATTCTGATAGGCAACGTTGAAGAGCTTTACTATGTTTTGATATTATTTCATTTTGAGAACGTAGCTCCGCTAATTTTTTGTTCAATGAAGATACTACTGATGACACTTCCTGATTTGCATTTAATTCATTTTCTTTGCTGCCATCTAAAACAAAATTTGTTCTTATAGTTAACATTTTTAAACAAGTTAAATAATTTTAGTTATTTATTAATAGGCGTCAATATATTTATGCACTAAAAGCTACCTTATCTTGCATGCATTTATGCATACATAATTAACAAATATGCACTTTTATTTAAAAAAAATACACATCACACTTTGTAGGTTGAACTAAAGAAAATGTTCACACTTTTTGGCAGTTTATATATAACAAGATTTATTTAATTTTTGTTCATCTTGATCACCATAGTAAAAATATGTAAGTTTTATACATTTTTCTGTTTCCTTATAAGAATAATAACTTGCGTTGTATTCTACTATACCGGGACTACAGAGGTAGTAGTACAATATTGATGAAACTAAACAATGCATCAATACCATAGAATGATATTTATGGCCCTATATAACTCTAATCACATATCCTTTGAATCATCAATTGAGGTTCAACAATTCAATATAAATCGACTGCCCCAACGAAAAGGGTTGTATCACATTTTTTGCAACTTTTCAGGATGAACCAAACAAACATTCAAATTTAAATTCTTATTCTGTTTATAACATATCAGTTTGAAAATTTGGATACATGTTATAGCATGTTATGCAACAGAATAAGAATTTAAATTTGAATGTTTGTTTGGTTCATCCTGAAAAGTTGCAAAAAACAAGATATGACCCTTTTTGTTGGGGCAGTCGAAATGTTCACTAATAAAAATGTAATTAAAAATCAAAATAATATATTTAAATTACCTGTTGTTGTTGGCTTAATTTCACAAACTTTAGCTAACTCTAAAGCAGTAACCCATCGTTGTCGTTCTACTTCATTTGTTGCTCGTAAATGAAATGTTTGAGCACCACCATTAGATATTACTATAGTACAGGAGTCTTCTGTCTGTATTGATGCCCCGTGTAATCTGATTGTGCCACGACATAGTTGAGACATCTCAGCTTGAGTCCTATAAAAATAAAGTTGAATTACTTAAGTAAATTTTTTAAAATTTATGATCTTATCTCTGAGTGAAGAAACAAAACAATTATCGCAGAAGTAGGTTGTGGGTATATTATTTATTAGCAAATTTATATTGCTTTGTTGCTAAAATTAATAAACTGTAATAAAAAATTTATAATTATTCAAATAATTCATATTATTGTAATACTAAAAAATTGTTTTGTAACTGTATAATATACATAATATTATATTTTTTGTAAATATGTACAGTACTGACTTATACAGCATTTCTTAACAGGTTTTTAATTTTTAGTGGTTATGCATTTCTCCATTTCAATACATTTTAATGACTGTACATTAATAATTTGATAAAATATAAAGACGTCAAATTATTATGTAGATTTCATACTATTTGTTATCATTAGTCGAAAATAATAATAATATAATAATAATATATAATCTCTATATTATGTTAATATACATAATATGTTGATAACTATATTGTAAATACTTACAATGTAATTAAAAACTATTGTAAAATTCATAATAGTACACCAACGAGAGTATTGAAAGAGCCTCATTAAAAGATTCATTATCTCCGTAAAAACTTGAACGTATGGTACTATTTAAAGGTTACATGTCCAGTTATATTGTAGTGGCTAATAGGGAAGAGTAATCCAAACGATAAAACAAATATAAATTGCAACAACAGCTTATAAATTTAAAACTTTTTGTTTTTATATACTTAACAGATTGTTAATTAGATCTAGTTATAAAAATGACTTATTATCAACTTTCAACGCTATGTTTTATTTTAATTATTATAAATGATGGTTTGTATGCGCTTAACAATGGATTAGCTTTAACACCGCCAATGGGTTGGCTAGCTTGGCAGAGATTTAGATGCACAATAGACTGTAATACGTTTCCAGATGAATGTGTTAGGTAAAAAAATAACATAGTTTTAAGTAAAATGTATATAAAAAAAATTTTTACACTAAGTTATTTACTCATAATTTACAGTGAACAATTATTTAAAACAACGGCCGATTTATTAGTAAGTGAAGGCTATGCACAGGTAGGATATGAATATGTTATCATCGATGACTGCTGGCTAGAACCAAATCGAACCGTTGAAGGTAAACTACAAGCAGATAAAAAAAGATTTCCAAATGGAATTAAAGCTCTTGCAGACTATGTAAGTTGTTTGTTACTGTTAAAGAAATATTTCAAGTACCAATTATCTAAATGTAACTTTTAAATTTGTTTAAAGCAAATAATATTTTGCACTTCACGCAAAAGTGTAAAGATACATTTTTGTATTGGCTTTTATATTGTATAATAAAAAATATTGTTTAGGTTCATTCCAAAGAGTTGAAATTTGGAATATATGAAAATGTTGGGTCAAAAACATGTGAAGGTTACCCCGGTATAGAAGGGCATGAAGAAGTTGACGCTAATACATTTGCTGAATGGGGAGTTGATTATGTTAAACTTGATGGATGTTATATAGACGAACATCGAATGGATATAGGTGCGTAATAATAAATTATTGACTATCTATATGAAAACAAAAAGATATACTAACCAACATTTTTTAAATGTATTTTTTATAAGGTTTTCCACAATTTGGTAAATACTTAAATAAAACTGGTAGACCTATAGTTTACTCGTGCTGTTGGCCATTCTATCAAGAAGGAAAAGGAATGAAAGTAAGACAAAAACAATATCGTCAAGTTTAAAGGTTAAAATAATTTTGATTATTATATTGTAATATAGGTAAATTATAAATTAGTAGCTGAAAATTGTAACTTGTGGAGAAATTATGGTGATATTCAAGAATCATATAGTTCACTAATGGGAGTTGTAGATGTATTTGCAGCAAAACAAGATTATTGGGCACAATTTGCCGGTCCTGGACATTGGAATGATCCTGATATGGTATTATTGCCAGCTATTAAAATACTGTAATTGTGCACATATTACTAATGTATTAGTAACAAAATTAATTGTATTTTAGCTATTAATTGGTAACTTTGCATTAAGTTATGAGCAATGCAAAACACAAATGGCTCTATGGGCTGTTTTAACTGCACCTCTGATGATGTCAAATAAGCTGTCCACTGTACGTCCGGAATTTAAGAGTATACTTCAGAACAAAGAAATAATTAATGTAAATCAAGATAAACTTGGTATACAGGGAAGAAGGATTTATTTGGTTAGTAAAATTTATATTATATTAGTCTTTACTTGTCTTTAACAATTTAATATTTATGTAAGAAATTATATATTCTATTAAAACATTTATGGGCCATATAGGATCAAGGTATTGATATTTGGGCAAAACCAATTGAACCGATAGATGAAGAATATTACTCCTATGCATTGGCATTTGTTAATCGCAGAACCATGGGTACACCATTTGTTTATGAAATCTCACTGAAAAATTTAGGACTAACTAATCCTAAAGGTTATATCATCATGGTAATGAAAATTAAAATAATACTATACTTGAGTTAATAATTTATACAAAAAATTACATTTAAAAACTGAATTATCTTAACTTAAATTGTTTTTTTTTTCAATAATAGAATTTATATACAAAAGACGACACTGTGAAACATATATTGAAACCCAGTTCACAGATAAAAGTACTAACAAACCCATCAGGTAAGAAAATTAAAAGCCTATGAGATAGATATTCCTAGTGTAATATTGATAAAATATGGCTTAAATAAACAGAATGTTATACCTTGTTTATTTTATTTCAGGAGTTGTTTTTTTAAAAGCAAATGTCGTCACAAAGTACCATTTTACAAAGTTTGAATATACTATGGATAATGATACATTCTTATTCAAGTAATTATTTCTCAGTACATCATCAAGGAATGATCAATTTAACATTTTAAATAATATAAGAATTACAACTATTGTAATAAGTTCAGAAATAGTACAAAATTAAAGAAATATTATATAGAATATACTAGTATACTTGTTGGATTTTTGATATGTTACAAAAATAATAGTTCAACCACTTGTTGTAACCATTTAAGCAAAACCTCGGCGCAGCTATCACCACAGGCAACCGCAGCTGGACGTCTATCGTATTTTAGTACTTAGTTAGATAAGGCCACTTGGCATACTTTAAGAATATCTTTGTCATTTTTGAGGCAACATGTTCCAGGGCACCTCATTTCCCTACATGGGAACACTGCATGGCCTCTGTGATCGCCTATTTTGTAGCTCTGTAATTACTTTTTATGTTGGTACCTCAAAGGGAAAATTTTAATTGAAAAACCTTGCACTTTTGAGGACTTTTCACGAGCGATTACAAGGAAAATTCAAGCGATTCCAGTCGAGATGTTTGGCAAGCCTAATGACAACTTTTCAGCTCGTTTACGGGAGTGGTTGCAAAAGAATTAGATGATGTTATTTTTGCCTCTTAAATCAAATATACTAATGTTTTTTTATGTAAAAACAAAATGGCTTTATGTAATTGATCTTTATAAAAATTTTAATTCAATTTTGCTTAAAATTAAGTGATTTAATGAATTTAGAAAAACGTCATACCTCTCTGCTGGACTTCGTACAATTTTGTCAATTATAGTATGTTGTGTACTTAAAAAAAAAATAACCAAATATTAGTTAAAAGTACTTATGTATTATAAAAGATTTTATTCTGCTGAATTTTGAACTTCCCTAAATTATTACATAGGTAAATACATTTATATTTTATGCATAATTAAGAGGCATTTCATTTATTTTTTACTTACAAATGGAAATTGTGCTTATTTATAAATAGAAAAAACTTTTTTTCTTCAAAAATATTATACTGATTTTATGACTGGTTTAAATTTCAGCATAGTAAATCTTAGATATTAAATTTTTAAACTAAATTTTGTTAAACTTTTAAAAAATTCACAAAAAAATTGTTTATTTAAATCTTTACAAAAAAATTATTTTTTTATAAATTGGACATGGTGCTCAAACTTTAAGTCTATATTTAGAAAAAAGGAGGAATATTGAATAAATTAGACATATTTTGGTTTGTTTTTAACTAACACAGTAGTGCCCCAATGTGCCTCTAGGATTGCTATACCTGTTTACATATATTATTGGACATTATTGTTGCTGTTGGAATAGACAATAGTAAAATAATTTAAACCATTACACCAATAAACCAACAAACAGACTGATAATTTCGTTGAAAAAAAATATTTCTAGTGAATAATCATATAACCTTATTAATTGTATTATGATGCAGTCCAAAAAAATTACAAAAGTCTTACTATATAGAAATAAAATAATAAATCTATTGCAAATCTAACATTAACAGTAAAATTGAGTTAAAAGATAGATATAAAATTGAAAATCACTGTTCATTTGTTAATTCATATTCAATTGTCAGCTTATTCAAATTAAAGTATAATAACCAAAATCTAAAAAGATTTAGCTTTTTTTGTTATCAAGTTGTTAATTTGTACAAAAAAAAAGAATATTAATAATTTTTTTTTGTTTTTTATATTAAAAAGTTTTAAAATCTACTATAATATTATTTAATATTTGCTTGAATGTTGATATTGTAATTAGTGACGAACAATTGATATTGTTGGCCATTACTACTGTAAATAATAATTGTATTCTTGAATAATTAAGTTATGACCTTAATACAATAGCATCATTAAAGAATAATGATAATGTAAAAAAAAAAAATGCTAAATTATGGTATTTTAAATGTCTAGCCCATTATTTATTTTGACACAACACAAAAATGTACTATGTCAAAATGAAATTCTATTGACATTTGTAGTAGTCTAATGACTATATTATCTAGGTAATCTGTTTTACTAAAGTAACTTTTTCTACATATTTTGTTCTAATTTGTTTAAAAAAAAATGAACATAAGGTCTTTGAAAAACACTATTCCTTATGAAATATCTTATGTAAAAGTAAAAATACACAAATTCAATAATATGAGATTTAGTACGGCATATAGATTAATTATAAATAGTACATTGTACAAAATAAAACTGCATTATATAAGGCAATACAATAGAACATTTTCCTGATAACCAAGTTTGTCATAATTAGGTAGTTAAACAATTTTATTTATATTTTAATTTTACTTTTATTATGGCTTTTATCATTTTCAAAAATAGTTGATATTACTATACCTTCACTATAGTTAATTATTATTTTTTCATATATTTACTTTACTGGGCACCCTATTTTATAATAAAAATAATATCTACTTAAACGGCTTGGGCACTGTTAAAGTAGCTTTAACTTTTAAATTAGAGAAGTCTGCAGATCAGTATTAAAAGCACAAACAATTTGTAGACAAAAGTTTCTAAAAAAAGGGTTCTCGGTAAAATTAATTTGTTTTATTCTCTTTTAAAAATTGTTGTTTTTTCAACTAGAAAAAAGTTGGCAGATTGGGATTAAACTGTTAAGCTATAGCTTAAGGCCACGCAATGTTGTTGAATTTTGTTTCACTAATAATTTTTGGAGGAACAAAGATTCAAAGGCTATTAACCAAATTTTGCCTCATCTCTTTCAAAATCAATAAACTTGTTTTAGTGGCTACTCCACAATGAAAGTATTGCAAAATATCAAGGCTACATTAATAGACCTTGAGATCCCATGTTGAACAGTTAAGTCTAGCGTACCTGTAGTAGGACAGTATTCCATTGGACAGGACGAACCATCGTTTTTGATAGCCTTTTATGTAGTTGGTCCACTTGAAAAGCCAACCTTTCATGTCTTCGTCGTCCAACGAATTCTTTGCATCCATCGACATGTTTTGATGAATTTCGCGGTGACCACCTAACAGCGGCTGCAGAGTTCAAGCATTTTAAGCGGCCCGTTGGTAGGTGTTAACCGACACGCTCCCGGCTTTGACCGACGACCAAATCGCTTGCAGAATAACGAAACCGATAACTTCTTTAATATTGTTATGATTATGCGATTCCAGTATAGTATGACATACCTAATCGCAACACGAAAATACTAATACAGAGATAATAATGATATTATTGCACCGCCTGCCGCCAACCCTTTCTATTCCGGCCACTACTGGGCTGTGTGTCGGTAGGACCCGCGATAACAAGTTTAATCAGCTGACAATTGACAACATGACGACGGCACAGCAAGCTATGTAGACTCTTCAGCTCGTTCGAGGCCGCCGACTGTGTTCACTGACAACAGTGCAGCCAACGGTATGATTGAAATTACCGTGTGCTTGTTACATCGTCATAAGGCTTGTACGATATTATGCTTATGGTGAATTACCGCTAACAGGCGAACTTGGCTACCTTTTACGTGATTCTAGATCTACAAATTATTCGAATTCACAGTTATGGCAATACCTTGTCACTATTTCATTATTATCTATCATTAAAATTTATACCAAGCAACTGTATACAATATTATATTGAAAAAGCCGTTTAGCGTAAATTTTAATTATTACCAATAAAAATAAATGTTACATTAACGACATTAAATTTGGTATTAATAGTAATCGACAAATTTAATGTAACAACTATAATTATTATAATATTATAGTCTGGAATTACTTATTTAACCATCAATGAAATTTCAACTATCCATACTTACAAATTGGGCATCGAACTTTGTAATTTAAGTGAGATAAGAAAACAACAACATAACAATAAACGATCACAATAGACCTTAATAATAAATATAACGTCTATGAACACGACAAATTATATTATGATTCTAAGTGTCTGACATGTATTAATTCATAATTAACCACAGCTTAACAATTGGGCATTTTTTTTAGTGTAAGTATGACACAGTCAAGGTTAATAGATGAATAATTATATATTTTATTTATTAACCTTGTGACACAGTTCCATCGGCTTCAAAGATGAGTTTGTATCATTTATGTATAAATCCCACCCACTATAGTCTAAACATATGGATAACGAAAAACCAGTAGCATTTAAAATGTAAATCGTACTGTTGTATATTTACATTTTATTTTATTAAATACTTGATTTTTAGTTATTGTATGTTGATTGTAAGTAAAATAATATTTGTTATTTTTTTTTAAAAACATTTTTATAGTACCTATACCTAATGCTGCTATTTCGCATTAGACGTCGCATACATAATATTTATCTGGGTCTTTGTCTTGTATTCTGTGTTGTCAAGCAACCCGTAAAACGGGTAATTCGCTGTAGGCAATTAATAGTTATAAGTTTCACTTTTTTATTTGTAATTATTTTATATAATTTTAACCCATTTACGGCTAAAGTTGCGTGTGCGCGACATTAATTTAAATAGGTTATTTTAACCGGATTATTTTTTATTTAACTGTTACGACATAATTCCATTAAGAAGATGATAATTATTTGTCGCTCATTACTCAAACTATAATAATTATAGCTTTGCCGTTCACAGTTAACGTTGCGTAGATACACTTAAGTAACGTTGACCATTTCAAGCATTGAACATCCTAAACCAATTTTATTTTAAACCCAAAATGTTCTACTTTATAATAATTTTAAAACTTACTATGAATTTTTATTTATTTGAATAAAACAAATATGAATCGAGTAAGTTAATTTTTGCAAAAAAAAAATCTTTGTCTGAATCTAACATACTTTTGTGCAACATGTATAAAAAAAATTCTCATTTAAAAACCATTGTAGTAATCTATGTATAGTATAGTGGTAGTACCAAGAAAATAATGTTAGTTTAAACGGCTATATATTGAGAGGTATAATATATAAGCAGTATATACTATATGCAAAAAACTCGTTTTAATACATTTTGAACATGTCAACTTATTTTTTTACAAAACTATATTAGCTTTAATAGGTATAATAACCGATTTTTTTGTATGAATTTTTCAAATATATATAAAAAAAATATGTATACATACAGGATCACTTTTTACAAAATGCACTGTTCTCAATATTTTATTTGATTACAAAAACTAACTAAATTGGAAAATTTAAACGCTTTTTAGACGCATAGAAATTAAAAGTTAAAAAAACCGGAGATCAATGTGTGTGAAGTCTTCCTCTTACTCTACGAGTCATCATTCCTATTCCCTTAAGTCATGTTTTTGGACAAAAAAAATGTTATTTCAGGAGGCATAATCATGAATATTTCAATTTACATTGTATAACGAACGTAAACCAAATTTTAATTACCTACATAATTACGTTAGAATTTTCAGTAGATTCACAAAGTTTGTATTTACTGTTTAAGTATCTTTAATATTAAAAAGTTATTTTAATTAATGTGTGTTACAATAATGAGTTAAAATTAGAACATTTAAACCTGACCTGACTGAATAATTTGTAACTTTTCAAAGGTTATGATATTGTTTAATAGATTCAACATTTTGTAGTATTATTTAAACAAGATGCGAAAACTACTTTCCCCATAATATTCTTGAAAGGTTAAAATTTGGCTGATTGTTCAATAAATAATGTGATTAACGAAAGCAATACACAAGTATAAATATGATAAAAATGTTTCACATTTATCAAAATAAATAAATAACACGAAAGTACATATACGCCAAGTATACAAAGAAGCTACACAATGTGGTGTTCCATAACAATATTACACAAAACTACTTAAATAGTCTTTTGTTTGCTTCTTACGATCAAAATTAAAGATCACAGATATTCTTAGAATTAATAAAAACAAAAAAAAAATGAAAAAGTAAATACAGTTAAATGTATATATCACACAATAAAAAAAAAAAAAATTACGAAGAAAACACATCTGAAGAATACAAATCCAATCTGTTTCGTTTTTAATTTTAATTTTTGCTCGCATGTTCCAACGACGGTCGCAAACTCAGACATCCTTCCACCCAAAAATTTGGCCTATCCAGCATACGTTGCCACAAAGCCACTTCTTTTTCGTTGGAATCCATCTCGACTGATTTTCCATCGTACATCCCTAAAATTTACACAAAAAACCACTATTAATGACATGTATGGTTATTAAAATTTTTAATTTATTTTTAAATGATTACACTGATATTATTTACATATATTTATTTGTACCTCAGAACCCGATTGAACGTACCTAAGTCACATTTTGCTAAAAGAGCGATTTTTACTACACTATTGAAATCGATAACAAAATATGGTTAGATGAAAACTGTTGTGAAAGTCAAACAGTACAGTTTATAAATTATAATACTCAACTTTATTTTTATTTGGCGTGCCTAACATTTACCCAACGGACAACTCTCAAACACAATTATTAGTAACATAATAAAAAATAATTCTATCTTGAGAAAACGACGCGTATGTGATATTACTCGAATAAATTATAAATATTTACCAGAACCCAACGAGAGTCTGACACCTCCTAAGAACTCATTGCTACCAAGTCTGTCGTGATCCCAAACAGTCAGTTCGAGGCTCCTCTCAGCTAATTCTTCAGGAGATATGTCTCGGTACGTGATTGTTTGATTCCAGCTTGGATTGCACGTTTTGCGAGCAACGTTGGTTTTCTGCTTGGAATTTCGTCCTTTGTCAGGTAATAAATAACTGCAAAAGAATCCAATAACAATTATTAATTACACAACAGATAATGCGAACAATATAGTCGTTTTTTTTTAAATTCTGGGCAAAACTTCCGACAAATTAGTTTTAATTTTTGGCACGAGAAATCGCTTGTTATTTTTGGCTTATACAAATAACATTTGTTTGACGCTATTATGTCTACTTCATATAAAAACATAGTGTTCTAAATATTAATGTTCTGGAAACAAAAACATGCTACTTAATATTTTTAACTTGAAAACTTAATGCTGGCAAAATAGGGTACTTTTCCTTTGTCGTTTAATAACTTTTTTTGTTATGTAAATCACTTATTATAACCTAAGAGCTAGCCATGCCTATAGATGACATATATAATGTGCCTATAATCACATAAAAGTATAAATGTGACATGTGTATATTTTATATTATTTTATTAACTACTATGTAGTCTTACAAATGAGGTTTTTGTCCTAGTAGATTTTTCTTAAATAGTTTATTTCCTAGATCATTACTTTTTTTTTTTGTTACATTTGGTTGATCATTAATCTTATACAACTTGGTGGATATAATATGCGGTATATGCCACTAATTTATAATAGTTATTCAATGTGAATAAGATAATAATGTCTAGATAAATATCGGATAAAAGTTTTTAAAAACCTCACCTTTTACAAAATGGATCAGAAGTTCCGTTTGATTTCACCGCCTGTAGATTTTTCGCATCTTTAACCAACAGAAGTAATGTGCCCTTTGTACGTTTTTTCGAATTCGGATCAGGTGGTACACACTTCAGTCCAACGATTATTTCGCCTTTGCTACTGACGCACATGTCTTCCAAAGGTTCAGTCTGTAATTTTAATGATTTTTTACAAAATTCTGCACGTAAAGGTAATCATAATATTATCAACAAACTTACTCGTTCCTGAAGTGGGTACAACTTTGGGGTGGGATCATCGAAGATCTTGTTTTCTAAGGGAACTCGGACTTCACCGAGGAAATTATTGCGCCCAAACATGTCCGAGTGCCAAACGCTCAACCATAGTGTCCGACTGTTTAGTTCTTCCAAGGATAAATTATACTTGAGGACCTCGTCGAAAATTGGGTTCATTGTGTGTTTTTTAACCCGGGTCTTTCTTTTACCAGCTTTTGATTTGTCGGGCAATAAATACACTTTCACATAACTGTAATAGAACAGAAAAATTTGTTAGATTTAATATAAACTATTAGTTATAGAATTAGTCGCAAATAAACACAATGTCAATAGACTACATTATACTACTGTATAATTACTATACTATAAAGTAGTATACATTTTTTTTCGCGTTTAACGTATGCATGTCTTTATCGGGCAGACTGAAAGTTTATTGCATTGACACTCTGGCCATACATTTAGCCGCTAACTTAAGTTCAGGGCCCTCGGAAGAGTAAAGACAGTGTGGTTATTTGTTGTAAAGAAATCGCCAGCGGCCGAGAGGCGAACTGGCACTGCCATCAGTGCAAACAAATTGTGTCTTTATATTATCCTATTTTGACACATTATTTATTTACACTAATAGCATCATTGATGTATTAGCTCGAGTGGTTCAGAGAAAAAAGAAGATAATGTGAACAAGAAGGCCTGGTGTCGTGTGGACTGGATAAACTTTTAGAAATTGTATAACTTACGGATCAGATCTGTTTCGTTTTGGATCAGCAGCTGCTAGATCGCGACAGTGTTTGATATTAATTTCGAATTGAGCAGCCTTATAATTATATTGCAGACCAAATTCTACTTCGCCTCTGACGGCCACCGTTCCGTATCTAACTTCTCCGGCTCCGGAATACACAGACGCCATTGAGTCGCTTCTCGCCTGTGAAAATATGAACAAATTAGTTGATGTTAGGTATTTTTTTATTTATTTAAACGCCTCAAGGGCTAAAAGTATAGAAAAATACATAAACTGATAAAAATAATAAATAGTAAAATTTTCTTTAAATATATGTATGTTAAATAACTGAATAATAAATCAACATCGGACAAATTTAATAATAGTATAACAGCTATAGTTTTAAATTATAAGAAGCCCATTGTTGTTTTATGTTTAGAAATCAGATTTTATTAGCATTCCACTGGAATAATTTAAGTCGACGCGGAAGAAGTAGTGAAGGTGTACTTACACACTGAACTACATTCGATGGTATCTATATTAAACTCATTAGACTATGAACAGGCTTTATAATAAATATTTTGGTTTACATTTCGAATTTCAACTGAGTAACATTAAGGAATTAGTATAAAATTATAATATTCGAATATTTTATCGTAATATTTCAACCAATTATACTTACATAAACTAATAAATACAAATAATTATTATTTTTCTAAAATTGATATAAATAATACAGAGTCATTACAATTATGGTATAATTTTAACCCACATTTCTTTTAATAAGAAAACTTATTAAGTAATGATTAATAGTGTAATTAAAAGGAACAGTTTTTTTTAATTATAGACATTATAGTTTTTAAGATGGGCTTTAATGACTAATTAACTCGTATACTTATCGAATGTAATGGAAGTACCTAGTTATAAAAGATCAGCGAAACGAGTAAGAAAAAGTACCCACGCAGTGAACTATACCCACTAATTAAATTGTTACAATTAAATATAAAACTGTACACTAATATGTTCTACTAATGCCTATTGCATCGCGTACATTCTGCAGCAGACCATTGTTCTTATAGGTTTAGTCTAAATATTTTGTAGTAGATAAGACAGAGAATTCGAAAGATACATTAGTAGTGTAAACACATTGTTATTTATAAACTACTTTAGGGTCTGTCATAAAATATATTTGTTTTCCGTTATGTAAATAACATTTACATATCTTAGGTAAAAATGTGTAAATAACCATTATCTACTTGTTTGAATAAATGAAAGAACTCGAAAAATAGAATATTTTAGTATATAATTTTCTTTCAATGTACAGAGTGGTCTTAGATTATTGTCTTGATCGGAGTATTATCCAAATTATTATAATTATCTTATGGCCAATCATTTGTTTGATAGAATTCATAATAGAAAAATAAGGTTTTCCGGTATTGACATTTAACATCAACCCAATCATTACATTTGAGAACGACTCATGACTAAATAAAGTTCTCAAAGTTGGATAGACCGTGTATCCAATTACAGTGTAGAATAATTTATATATAATCAATAAGCTTCAAATTTCACTTCGGAAATATCATTGTCAAGTGTCAATACTAACTAGTCGACGACTATGCCCTGTCGAGTTTAACTTAGTATAATATTATATAATACCGTTATTACTTAAACCGTCTAAAAATGTTTTGTGTATTTCCTTAAGTTAATTTAGTGATAAAAAAATAATAAACAAGCGAAAATATAATACTATACCAATGGTATCTGTACAGTTTTGAATGAACTGAGATTTTGATTTAACTTTAAAAACTATAAATTAATACATGTTTGCATGTTGTGTGATCATAATATAAGCGTTTGAAGATGTAAGTAAATGCAACAAAGAAAGTGAATTTCACCAGATGAATACTAATTATGTAAGTAATTTTATACTGTAAAAGTACATACCACTCCGAGAGAAGAGCTACTCCTGTGTTGTGGTTTTTCGACGTCATCTTCGGCTTTGAAGGAACACACGGAATTGTTTGCCGAAGGTTCTGGACTAATTACACCACAGCTACCACCAACGATCTGTGTACTGTCGTTTTCGAAAGTACCTGAAAAAATTAAACACATAACATTATGTAAACATAACTCCAATTTGCAAATCTATAAAAGTGTATAATCTCAAAAATGGAAACTAGGTCACTTTTAAAGAATATCGTCCTTAGAGAAGTGAGGAGAGAGAAGTCGCAAACAGGCATCGCGCTATGCCGCAAACCGAGTACATTTAATTTAGCGCATACAAATAATTAATTGTATATTTCAGAGGCGTCATCAATATTGGTATTAATCAACAGCCTTATACTACTAGTTTAACGACTATGGTAACTAACTAACGAATATAATATCGTCTAAACTAATTATATTATTAAATTATTAACTAAAAGACCGCATCTAGGTTTGTTTTAATATAATTATTTAGGCATATAACTCGTATATAGCTAGAACGTGTTCATAAGTCGGGCCATAGTTTTAAATTATTGTTTTGTAAAAAATTTGCAATATAAATTAATGCATGACGTATGATATTATTGTTTATTATCAATTTGTAAGGTTACAATGATAAAATATTAATCGCTTATTTAAGAAAGGGAATGTATCACCATTTTTACGACAATTACTTTTTAACTATACATCAAAAGGAACAAGTCAACACTTGAAAGCCTAAACAAATTTGCAAATATTATAAAATCTCATTTTAGTTATAATTCAATTTAATGAATACACATTTCAATATGTGTTTACAAAATTAGTACCCAACAATCTAAAAAATATATCAAATGTTTCCAAAATAAAAAAGAAAGCGTTTCTGTATATTTCAGATTTTTAAAAAGTTTGTATTCAGCAGAAAACAGTTGTTTGTCTTTCCCCTTTCTTGAAAAAGCGATTTATGTATAATTATATTTTTTCACGCGAATATATCACCAAACATTTATCATCAAAATTATTATCAACCAAATCCGAGAGCTTCATCAATTCTATCAAAGTACTAGTTTAAAAATATTTAATTGCTCATTATTATTATTATTTCTCATTGTTATAACACTGTCTTTTCGTTAAGTAACCTGGTGGCGTTGTAGGCACATCGGTCAACTATTAACTGTTATTGTCCCCAATACATAGACCAATTTTTTTTTTTTTTGTAGATTTTGTCATTTGACAACGCTTTTACTGTTACTTCTATATTCTATAATGTTCTTGCTTAGGGTATTTTTTTTGCACCTTATCGAATTATTTTAAAATAAGAGGCTAGGTAAAAAGTATACAATTTTCACTGAAGCACACTGGACAAAAGCCTGTGCCGTTGCGTTCAGATACCGTTCAACAAATAAGTTACACTACTCCAAGGAAAATGTTGCTACGTTTATTGTTACTACAATTTTATTATCAAAGCAATATATCTTGATATTATATTTTATTGTTATTACCATTAATAGTTCAGTGTTTTAATGGTCAAAGATAATATTTTAGTGATAAATTCAACGGTTCTTATATTATAAGTGTACCCCGACAAACGCTAGCTTTTTTTTTAAGGTATATTATGATTTTTTTTTTATTGCATGTCACTGATATAATACACTACTATACCTATAGGCATACATTTGCGTTCGTTATTGAAGGTGAGATCACGCTAAAATTGCTTTTGTGATTTGTATTCATGTAACTTATACGTGCCTATATAGTTATTAGATATCTTTGGCAATAACACGGTTATTATTATATTATTACTTTGGAAAACGGTGCTCACGACTTGACTATCGGAATGGTGGATGCGAAGGATAGTCTGAAGAAATGACAATAGACCCAGAGACCATGACATAACCTGTCATAACCTGTCATGACATAATCTGTCTGCGCAGTTCTTATAAAATGTACCCGAGAACTTTTCATGAAAATACTCTTGTAAACTACGCCGCAAGAGAAACATCTTCTTTTTAAATAAAGTAAGTATTCGTTTTTGGGTAGCAGGTAAAACTATTTTTCGAAACTCTGTGTCTAGTCGGTTTTACTTGTGTTATAAAAGCTGAAAGTAATTTAGGTAATTATCATTATCATGTTTTGTTTATGGACAATGTACATTCATGTGCGTCGTGCCGGATGAACGATAAATATTAACTCATATTTAATAATCGATTTTCGCATGTTCAATGTCCGTGTAAGTACCTACACAGAACTGGTATGCAAACCGAAGTGAATGCCAGGTAGAGAAAACCTAGCCGGAAGTAACTCGTTCGACGGGTATGTGTGTGTATTGTACTCTAGCTTTCAGTATAATAATATGTGGACCTTTTATAATTATTAATAGTTAATAATTGCTCGTTTATAAAACATGTCATTATTTCGGTAATCGGTGTAATTTCCATACATTATAATAATATTATAATCTGATTGAAACGCGTACGAACAAAAGTGAAACAATCTCACGAATGACGTGACGGGAACGGAGCGGTTCTCGCCCTTATGGTCGCAGGACCTCTTTACACAAAAGTAAAAGTTGTTTATACTTCTGTGCGTTTTCTAATATACCGTTGTTGTATTGTTTATCGCCACTAATAAACGACATCTAAAACTAAAACCCTATACCGATACCCTAAGTCCAAACGCACGTCGTCGCAGTATAATTAATGTGTTAGCCTTTTTTCATTTATTCCGAATGAACAGTCGGTTGTTATGGGCTCGGCTTGAACAAACGGTCGCAATAATGGAAAGTGAGTTATAAAAAAAAACCTCAAGCTAAAAAATATTAACACTAGGTACACGTTCACCGAGAGAACATTGACAATTTGTTTTTTAAGTATTATCGCGGAGCCATGGAGACTTTAACGATTTTCACGATTCGCTGCAATTCCATCGGTGAAGCGCGCGCTCGTGCATTGCCTCACAGCTTGGGTGTAAGTAGAAAAAAAACCAACCTAACACTCGAGATGTTAACCGACCGAATCGAACTGAAAAGATGACGAAACTAACGAAGGAGTTGTTTTACATATTTTATTATTTCATACTAATTTTTTTTTTTATTTTGCAACGTAATACTAAATATTGCGTCTCGCTTAAAGCACGACAGTTTTTCCGCGTCTAAACAATTAATACTTAATTAAATCAAATGTTAATCATTATACCGAAGGTGTAAGTAAATGCATATTTGTCTAGTTTTATATGAACGACTTTTGAACCTGACCTGAAACGATAGAAAGAAATTCTGAACATATCTATTGACATATACGAGTACACGCATAACTCAAAATTGATTAGACTTCATCGATTTACCTATAATTGCATTTCTAGACGTCCGTTAAAAATGTACATTATCATACTGTGCATCCGAGGACTACCGCAGGAGTGAATGAGAAAAAACTGGTTTTGGAAACTAAGCCTACATCTTATGAACGTTAGACACGCATACGAGCCGTGCCGTATCACACAATAAATAAATAGCCGACGTAGGCCGAACAATTTCGCGGTTTCTAATAGACGACCGCACATACTTTCAAAGCCAATAAATCATTTGCCTGACACCGCAGTAGATAAATTATGATGATTTTAGAAATACCTAAAGACTCACTCTCACACCGCTTGTGCTTAGTTCTATCCGACGACTATAGAGACTCTAAGATTAGTTTGTTTGCTCGTACTAACTAATCAAACTGAAATCGATTGTTGCGAAAACGATATATTCGTCGTTATTGTTTAACAGTGTGAGAAAAGAGGGAGAAACGCCGTTCGGATAGGATATCTGTGGATTTTCAATGTCAAGTAGTCGACGACTCTGCTTGGCCATTACGGTCGATCACCACATGCGCGATTGTGTCGTCGAACCGCGTTGATGTGGGTTACAAGGTCGTCGGCCTTCGGACATGTGCGTCCGGCCCAGTGTCCAGTGAAACTGAAAATGTTTGCTTCTCCGGATGGCGATGACGGCGGCTTTCACTAATACAGAGAAATACAAACAAAAAAGCAACTAGCCGCCACCACTAGATTTATAGCCGCGGTTTAAGATTAACGAAAGAAACGTAGCCGCCGACATCGGCAAGCAACATCAGTGTAATATAATTCTAGTAATAAAACAACGCCATTGCGTTATAAAACCAATACTTTAGCATGGGAGCTAAAATATCCTCCCCCCCTCCCCTAAAGGCATTTGATTTTTCTTTGTATTTCGTCCGGCCTAGAGCACTACATGCAGGTACGCGGTGTGACTTGGAAACAACACCGACGTCTAATACAATTATTATTGCAAGACTCGTCTGCTGAAACAAGACGATGTTATAACATGATTATGCCGTATCTATTGTCTATTGAAACGGGTGCGGACTACGGTTTTGTTTGCTTTCAGATACAGTTCAGTTGGCAGGAATACGGATTTCCAGAAGCGATACGAATATAATAAGCTGTAATGTTTCTCGAGTAACAATAAACATTCCGGCTTTAGGTCTTACGTTTTCCTAATGCCAACCAAGCCTAAAGGCTAGCAAATGGACAATCCGAATTCGTCGTATACGATTCAATACGCGTTTTGTGTATATTATACCTGGAATTTATCAAATAAACGCCTTCGCCTCGCCGACACCTCGTCAAATTGATAGACTCAGAGCTCTTTGAGCTAAGTCACTTATCATCTAACCATCATTCTGGCTCTCGCGAGGTAGTTGACCAGACAACACCCAAGGAACCAACACCGAGAGTTTAAACTTTAAAGTTACCGTATAAGTAAATTTATTATCCAATTATCAAATATATAATTTAGCCTTGGGTTAGCTCAGTTTCTTATATTTTCCCCCGGACCTCCACACATCCTCCTCATAATATAATGTTAAAAATAAAATTATAAAGTAATAAATTGTAAAATTCTGTGTACATAAAACAGGTTAGATTGAAACATCACGAGTACTTACTTCATTCTCGAGAACAATATTTTTCCACTTTTTATATATTTTTAATTGCTTACAATCGACAGAACATTTCATAGAAACACAATACTGTCGTAGTAATGCTAAACCATAATATTATATGTTTAGGTCGTAAGCGCTCAAAAGAAATTAATGTGCCTACTCCA